TTTTATTAATTATTTAATTAAATAATTATATGTAATATTAATATTAAAAATAAAATTTACATGTATAATTTTTTATATAAATTAATAATAAAAGCCCATCTTGATATGCTGAGGTGCCTGTGCCTAAGCATATGCCTATACCTATGCTTGCTGCCACAGTGATTTTACGGTCATTAATAAGATAATAAGTTAATTTAGTACTTTCTGTCATCTGGCAAAAATACAGGAAGGCAGAAAGCAGCGAATCTCCATTATTTCTTAATTCTGCCGAGTGGGGGTTCATAATTTATACACCCAATAACAAATCTACTTACAGTACGACTCCTGTTCTAACCGCAAGATTGTTGGTATGACGTTGTCATAATCGTCCTTTCAAAGAAAAAATATCAACCTATTTAAGATTTGGGTCAAACCATTGGGTGACAAAATCTGATTTTTTCATATGCAGTTATAATCAGACCTATTATGTGTATCATTTCATAAGATTAACTCAATGTATACGAAGTTTTTAAATGTGTTTTAGGTTTTATATATGGATGCAAATTTTATAACAATTTGTTTTTTTTTTTAATTTTAGTTGTACAATTGAGGCAATTCTCTTTTATGACTTATTTTATTCCATTAACATATTATACGATTTAAACTCAAAATTTTTTATTTTTAATAAAATAATAATATTATTAAATTATTTAAATAATTAACTTATAACCATGGATGGAAAGGGACCATCTCAATATTAGGGGCTGTAATTTTTTATCGATGTTACAAAATGTATAATTTACCTAAAACCAAGTATACATCACTTTTCCATTTATAGATTAATTAATTTGTTTTAAGTTGAGTGTGCTGATGGGAATAATGGTGTCTCTCAGCGTACGGAAGAAATTGTGAATCCCTGAGACTAGTGCACGTGGGTTTTTTTTTTTTTTTCAAAAGAGAACTTCATGTGTATAGTGAATTTTAATTGATCAGTAATAGTATATTTAAATTAAGAAAAACACAGAAAAAGGAGGAAAAGATTTTTGAACTAATCAAACTATCACATTATAATTTAATTTGTCCAAAAATCTTCCTCCCCCTCTTCTCTTCTCCATTTCTTTCAATATAAACCTACAGTAAAGGAAGTTAAAACTTGTTATGGTAACAAAAATTTAAAGCCTTTGATTTTATACTTACATTAAGGTTTTAAATTTGGATAGCAATAGATGTCCTCCAATTCAATATATTTTATAATATATTTATTAAAAATTTATTTTTTAATTGAAAATTAAAAGTAAAAACTTAAAAATACAATCATTGATGAGAAAATTGATTGATTTGGTTATACTTATATTATATTTTAATGATTAAATTAAATAGGTGTTAACTAGTAAGTCGAACAAGAGTTGAAATCATTTTAACTATATATAAAATTACTGTAATAACAAAATTTCTCTTAAAATTCACAAACAAATATCCATTAAGTTTTAAAAAAACTATCAATAAATACCCATTGGACTTTTCAAAAAAATTCGAATAAATACACAATGAGTTTTAAAGAATTTCTCAATAAATATTTAATTGGTTTTTAATAAAATTATCTAATAAATAATAATTCAAATCTAATATATGTTAAATATTATAATTTATTTTCAATAGAATTTATTTTTTAATAATTTATCCACGCTTTCTTATTATAAAATTTTACTGGAACTCTCTTTAATACACTTTCCAATTGTAAAGTATTACTGTTACAATTTATTTCTTATTATATAAATAGATTAAAAAAAAAAAAAACTAAACAGGGAGAAGAGGGTCCGATCACCACTCCTAATTTCCATCTCTTTTCTAAATCATAAAATTACGATTTGGTCCTCGACAGAGAGCAGTTTTACCGTTTATATACGTTTCGAAATAAAAATTTTCTAATAAAAACTTGTGAAATAGTAAAAAAGGTTTGAAAAATACAAAATAATAGACAGAAATGCCAAAAAGGCCTAATAAATTATGACAGATATTTAGGTATAATGAATGAAAGAATAATACTAAAAATATATATATAATAATATAAAATGTTAAGGAAAAAATGAGAAGTAATCTCAACAAAACTTCATAAGATGTAAATGTTGATAGATATATTGAATTGATAATATATCAATCATTTTTTAATTATAAAATTTTTTTTATTTTTTAAATGTAAATTGATTAGATTTGTATGCTTTAAGTCTTATTTTATATCTATCATTCATACTTTCTTAATGAATTAATACATATAAAATTATTAATTATCAAAAATAATATTCTAAGTTATATTTTTAGTTAAATGTTATTATAAACATTTATAATTAGTAAAAAGATTAAAAAAATATAGACAAGCCACACAAAGCGAAGATTTAGATCTAGTTTTCATTTAAATTTAATAAATGTGAATTCAGCTAAACACTTATTCATGAGGTGTTCTTCCTTTTTTTTTTTTTTTCTTTTGATAATATTTTTTTGGTTATATACATAAAGATAATACATATTAATCTCAACTCTTAGAAAAAAAATTGAGTGTTAACTTCAAAAACACTTTCTTCTAATGAATATTTTAAAAACCAACTGTTAGATTTGGTGTTCTTTTAATATAAATTTATATATGTAAATTTTTAGATTAATTAAATATATATAACTAGTTTATTGATTATAAAAAATTTACTCCTATTATACATACATATTAGAAAATATGAGTTTCTTAATCAAATAATTATAAATGTTAAATCAATTTGAAAATTGACAAGTATGATCTTATTAATGAAACATTAAATAC